TAGGGGAGGCAGGTAGACAGGTAGGGGAGGCAGGTAGACAGGGAGGGGGAGGCAGGTAGACAGGTAGGGGAGGCAGGTAGACAGGTAGGGGAGGCAGGCAGACAGGTAGGGGAGGCAGGTAGACAGGTAGGGGAGAGACAGGTAGACAGGGAGGGGAGGGAGGTAGACAGGGAGGAGGCAGGTAGACAGGTAGGGGAGGTAGACAGGGAGGGGAGACAGGTAGACAGGGAGGGGAGGCAGGTAGATGTGGGAGGGAGGCAGGGGAGGGGTAGGGGAGGTGGCAGGTAGGGGAGGTGGGGTAGACAGGGGAGGGGAGGCAGGTAGACAGGCATGGGACAGGTATGGGGAGGCAGGTAAGGTAGACAGGTGGGTAGACAGGTAGGGGAGACAGGTAGACAGTAGGGGAGGCAGGTAGGGACAGGTAGGGGAGAGGCAGGTAGACAGGTACAGGACAGGTATGGGAGGCAGGTAAGGGAGACAGGCAGGTAGACAGGTAGGGGAGACAGGTAGACAGGGGAGGGGAGACAGGGAGGGGAGGCAGGGGTAGGCAGGCATGGGACAGGTATGGGAGGCAGGTAAGGCAGACAGGCAGGTAGACAGGTAGGGGAGAGCAGGTAGGGAGGCAGGTAGGACAGGTAGGGGAGGCAGGTAGGGAGGCAGGCAGGGCAGGGGCAGGTAGGGGAGGCAGGCAGACAGGTAGGGTAGGCAGGTAGGGAGTGCAGGTAGGTGAGACACAGGTAGGACAGGTAGGGGTAGACAGGTAGGGTAGACAGGTAGACAGGGAGGGGAGACAGGTAGGGGAGGCAGGTAGACAGGTAGGGTAGGCAGGTAGGGTAGACAGCTAGGGGAGGCAGGTAGGGGAGACAGGTAGGGGAGGAAGACTCACCTATCTGGTAATGCGGCATGTGGAGGTTGGCAGGGTGGGAGGTGGAGGAGAGGAGGGAGGGTGTGGCCTCCTCACCCTTCATCCCTCCTCCCTCCCCAGGCTTCACCCCGGGGGTCCCAAAAGACGACGACCGCCTGTGACCTGGAGGGTAAAGAAATGTGGTGGTGGTGCTGACTCAACATTGGTCCTTGGGCGGCTCCCTCCCTCCCCCCACAACACCTGCCATCTACACCTGAGACACCTACACCTACTCATCACCTACACCTAGCAACACCGTTTAATCTTACCTTCAGTAGTAGGGCAGGAGAGAGATCGGTAAGCAAGATTCCTAACAACACGAAGCTAAGAGAAGAAGAATGTTTTCCTCCTGAGTCACAGCCGTGTTGTTGATGTGTTACGGGAGACAAGATTGGCGGAGGGGTCTACCACTAACCAGCTCTTGTTTAGTTCAGTTTCATTAGTGTTTTATGATAGAACGAACACACACACACACACACACACACACACACACACACACACACACACACACACACACACACTGACTCTGAACACATCCAAGGGTTACTCTGTACAATAACACAAATCCTAACACTCAAGGCTGGGCATCACTAACGTCTCTCTAGTCATTGGTTTTATCTCCCTCTCCTCCCACTCTCCCTCCTCCCACTCTCCCCTCTCTCCCACTCTCCCTCTCCTCCCACTCTCCCTCTCCTCCCACTCTCCCTCCTCCCACTCCTCCTCCCACCTCCCCCTCCTCCCACTCTCCCTCTCCTCTCCCTCTCCTCCCACTCTCCCCTCCCACTGTCCCCTCTCCTCCCACCTCCCCTCTCCTCCCACCTCTCCCTCTCCTCCCACCTCTCCCTCCCACTCCTCCCCTCCCTCTCTCCCTCCCCACCTCCTCCCTCTCCTCCCACCTCCCTCCTCCCACTCTCCCCACCAACCACAGGTATACATCCTTCCGGGGAAGCCACACAAGGGCAAACTCCCCCACCCTCCACACAGAACAAAGTTATGTAAACATTGAGCCGTGACACTCAAGTCTAGCGTGACTCATGATTGCCCAGATGAAGGTGGGGAGGAGGGGAGGGAAGGTGGGGAGGGGAAGGTGGGGAGGGAAGGTGGGGGAGGGAAGGTGGGGAGGGAGGGGAATGTCTGATGTATATATACCAACGTTATGCATATATACTCTCTCAAACCACACAACACCCCACACTGAATGCCTGTCACCCCTACCCTCCCCTCCTCCCCCCCACCACGACCCAAGTATATGAATTCACAGTTTCTGCCAAACAACTAACTAGGTGGGCGAATTACGGTGGTCGTGGTGTGGTAACCAAGTAGTCCTACCACCACCAACCACCACCAACTACCACAACCAGCACCATTTACCACCACTAACCACCACATCAACATCAACCACTACCACCACCACAACCACTACCGCCACCACAACCATCACCACAACCACTACCATCACCAGATCAACCACTACCATCACCACCACATCAACCACTACCATCACCACAACATCAACCACTACCATCACCACAACATCAACCACTACCATCACCATAACATCAACCACCACTAACAACCACACCCACACCACCACAG